CTGGTTAGCAGTCAAATGCCTTAGGCAAATTATACCTTTTTTTAAAACCAGTGGAATATTTACATAATATTCTCTTGTTGCAGAATGCTTAAATGGAATAAAATGTAATAACAAGATGAAATCCAGGCAAATTGTGTAATTATATACATAAAATCCAGATGCAAAGAGTATCACTAAACTAAAAATATATATTAATGTATATATTCCTTATCTATTCCAGATAAAATAATAGCTAGTATTTACTGAATATTTGCTATGAGCTTGTCAAAGTTCTAAGTTCATTCCACATATTATTTTATCTAATTCTTACACTGAACTTATGAGGGAAAATATTATCATTCCTTTTCAATATATGAATAAATCCACACTTGCTGAGGCTACTTAAATTGTCCAGGTTCACATAGCTAGTAATGGATGTCTTCAGGATGTGAACCAAAGAAATCTATTTTTTACACCAGTAGATAAAATGCCTGTGTTTTGTTGCTTTTGAGTAGTAATAAAACCTGTGTTTCATTGGCTATGTGAAAACATTTGACTGTGTATCATAGCAAATTGTGGATAACATTATTAAGAATAAGAATTCCAGAACACTTCACTATGCTCATGTAGAACTTGTAAATGAATCAAGTGGCAGTCATTCGAACAGAACAAGGGGATTCTGTGTGGTTCAGAGTTGTCTGGCTGGGCTGCATCCCTTCACCTTACTTACTCAGTATCAAAAAATAACCCGAGAAGCTGGATTATAAGAAAAAACACAGCATCAGAATTGAAGAAAGGTTCATTTACTCCCTGAAGATGACACAACCTTGCTTCCTCAAAATGAAGGCAACTTGAAAGACTTACTGGTGAAGGTCAAAGACTTCAGTATACATCTGAAAGTGAAGAAATGGAAATCTTCACAACCAGACTGATAAATAGTATCATGATAAATGGAGAAGAAATTGAAGTTGTCAATGATGTCATTCTACTTGAATCATCAATCAATGTCTGTGGAGCAGCAGTCAAGAAATCAAACAATGCATTACATCGGGCAAATCTGCTGCAAAAAAAATCTCTTTAAAGTTTAAAAGGCAAAGTTGTTTCACACTGATGAATAAGGTGATCCTGATTCATTCCATAGTCTTTTCAGTTGTCTCATATGCACAAGAAAGCTGGACAATGAAAAAGGAAGACAAGAATTAATACATTCAAACTGTGGTAGTGGCAAAACACAGTGAATATACTATACACTTCCAGAAAAATGAAGAAATCAGGATTAGAAGAAATAAAATCAGAATGTTCTTTACAAAAAAAGAATAAAGAGACATGGGCTCACTTACTTTGGGCACATCATCAGGAAAGACCAATTTCTTGCAAAGGGTATCATGTTTAGTGAAGTAGAGGGTCAATGAAATTGAGGGACGCCCTCAGTGAGATGGACTGACACAATACCCGTAACAATGGGCTCAAACATACCCATGCTCATAAAGATGGCACAGGGCTGGAAAACGTTTTGGTGTTTTATATATAAGGTTGTCATGCATCAGAATAGACTCAACAGCACTAACAACGCAATCTACTTCTTAGGCTTGTTCGTTGAAGACTTCACAGTGTTACTTTGGAAAAAGGACAGTCTACAAATCTAGAGAACAGAGTCCTTGTTTCAATTGGGTCATTAGGTATCATAATGGACTTGGGCAAAAGGTATACAGGTCTCCCCCTCCCAATATCTGAGAGTGGAACGTTCCTATGAAAACTTTTGTAAACTGAAATGACATAAAGTGAAGAAAAACTTACCATTCATTTATATGGGAAATATGTTCTCAGACCGAAAAATTATCTACCAAATCATACCAACTAACACATAAAATGTAAAATAATGCTAATTTATAGTCTCGAGACACAGTTCAAAACTATGGTGTCTTGACACTGAGGTGCTGAGTGTAGATCCCAGAGAAGGAGCTTGTCAATGCCACTTTTGCTGCTCAGGGTGCTCAGAGCCTCTTTAATGGCTTGCTGCACAACAAACACTGAACAATTGTTTCACTTTTTTCATAAAAGTGAATGAAAATCCTCTTTAGATTTCTTGAATTTTTGGAAAGCAGGGTTACCTATAACCATTTTTTTGGGCCTCAGTTTATTTATCAGTAAAATGAAAGCCTCAGACTACATGATCATGAACAAACATTACAAAATTAAAATTTTCAATTTAGTTATATTTTGTCCTAGAATCTGAAAGTGATAAATGGTTGTTGTTCAAAAATCATGTATGTTAAATTCTGTACTCTCAGTAATTAGCAATATCTGGCATATTAACAATATCTAGCATATTTGTTGGTAGATATTACCAATATCTGGGCCTCAGAGAATCAGTTTATTAAAATATGGTTATCTTCCTACTTCAGAATAGTTTCAGGGCTTATCAAAAAATATTCCACTACTGATTTATTGAGTCATGTTCTGTGATTATAAGGCCTGAAAATCTACATCATTACTGCTTTGTGTTGTTTTCTATGTGTTTTCCAATGACACATGTGAAAAGGAAATAATCCTGTAGACCACAATGGGCTATACCCATTTTCTCAGTGTGTATTCCCTCATGCAGTGGGACTGTGAACTGCTTTGTTGTGGTGTGCTATCAAGTCCATTTGGACTCATCCAACCCCATAGGACACAGCAGAACTTCCGTATAGGTTTTCTTAAGTGGAAATCTTGACAGAAGCAGATCACCAGCTCTTTTCTACCAAGGAGCTGCTGCTGGGTTCAAAGCAACAATCTTTTGGTTAGCAGCCAGCCATTTATCTGTTGAATCACTCCTTGTGAATTGCTCTAAGAAAGTAACATGCTGTCATGTAAAATTATGTGTTAAAAAGTAAATACTACAGCTCTTTTGTGAGAATCATAATGTTAGTTAGCATATTAAAGACAAGAAATAAGAGAAAGCTCTTATATCCTATTTTGAAAAATATGCACTAACACTAATTGGGAAGAATTTGTGGAGAACCAAGGGAAAATGTTAATTATGTCTGAATAAAATGATTTATAATTGAGGAGTCAGGAGAAAGGCATATGATATGATAAAACCACAGAAGTGAAAGTATGTTAGGACCAGAGAAATGAAAATAGGGCTGTAACCAACACTCTGACTAGAGCTGAATTTCATACATTTAAACAGTGGAAAGCAATTTGAGGAAGCACGGTTGGGCCCAATAATGAGGGGTTCAAATATCAGGGAGAGAATTTCAGACTTGGAGCTATTAATAAATTTATTGAAAGTGATGTAGCAGATGTTGATCTCCATGAAATATGCTCTGCTTCATTGTCTGGATATCTTGGTTCAAGATGATAAGACCAGCCAAACTAAAAAGTTGAGAATATAGACGAAAATTGAGAATTGCAACTATATAGAGGTCAGACTATTTAGAAATAAAATTTTACTTAATGACTACAAAAATAGCATCAATATACAGTAATTTACTGTATTTTGTTGACAGCATTTGATGGAGAAAATCTTTTTTCACTTTGTTGTTGTTAATTGCCTTGGAATTGGCTCTGATTACCTACAAGCAGTTCTAGAGTAAAGGGCTAAATAGATATATATAAATGCTCTCTAATTAAAACAATTTGGATATGACCTTTTTAATGTTTCAGAAATTATTGAAATATTGTTCTTATTTGCTTATACACAATTATTAAAAGCATAACATATAGTTGTATAGAGACACCAATAACTTTGATCACACATGTGAGAAGCTGACATAAACGTATCACGTTTAGTAGGAAAAAAAATTGATATATCAGTGTATTTGTATTGTGATTCGGATGAAAGTTTACAGAGTAAATTGTTTTTCCATTCAACAGTTCATACACATTTTTATTCAGAATTTATAAGAGAAATGTTTTTTAAGGAGTATTTTAAATTTTAATGAATATACCAGCTTTAAAACCATATAAAATAATTTCCATACTATGTTATTTTGATTACATCTTCCAAATCTTAAGAATTGATTGCTGAAGATCATTTTCTTAGCAAAAATGAAGGATGAGGTCTAGGAAAACTAACTGGTTTAATAGATTCCAATTTTAAAGCTGGAATGTGATAGAACATTAAAGATCTTCTAAGCCAAATTTTGAATTGTATTGATAAGCAAATGCATCTGAGAAAAATAAATGAACTTTCCTTAGTTGAGAAAAAGCAAGTGGCAGTTTAGTGAAAATAAATTACTAAGTAATCTCTATCACTTACACTTTATTTTTTATTTTATGAGGTACATTATTTATATTTACTTCAAATGAACTAATTTTAGTATCAACATTTCTTAATTTAACTGTTTTCTTCGCATTGTCTAAAATGTTCTACTCAAGAACATCCAACAAAATAATTTAAGTCAATGTTCCCCAATAGAACTTTCTGTGATTATGGAAATGGGTTATAATTTGCCTTGTAAAATGTAATTAGCACAGTCTATTCAACACTTGAAATATAGCTAGTTTAACCAAGAAACAATTCAGTTCATTAAATTTTATTTGATCTGAAATAATTTAAATTAAAACAGTCACAATTAGCTTGTGCTACCATATTGAACAATGCAGATTCAAATAAATGAAATGTACTCCTTCATAATTAATTTTGAATAATTTTTAAGTAGCAATCAAAAGAAAATAATATATAACTTGATAGTTTTATGCTCTAACATTATATATGCTTTTTTAAGATTTAAATGTTTTAATTTGGGGAATCTGTAATTTGGTAGGACTTGTAGAAATATTATACACACACACACACACACACACACACATATGGTTTGTACACCAAAAGAAACTGTTTAAAGTAATGTGGATATTCTAAATTATACTGCAGATTTAATTAAAAATCTTAGAATGTTGAAGTACATTTTTTTACAATTCAGAAAGATTTCAAGAATTAATTTGGGAACAGCTAAACAACTAATTGAAATATTGTCTGATGTGTTAGTCACTGAAAGTCTGTAAACAAAATGGTTATTGATTTTCTTTCCTAGATATTTGTATTGGATTGACTGTTGTGAATTTCCTCACATTGGCCGTGTTGGAATGGATGGAACCAATCAAAGTGTTGTCATAGAAACCAAGATTTCTAGACCGATGGCACTTACAATAGACTACGTCAACCATAGACTCTACTGGGCTGATGAAAATCATATTGAATTTAGCAACATGGATGGTTTTCATAGACATAGAGGTTTGTTGAATAGCACAAATAACTCAATATTTCATTAGTGCATAAATAATCATTAAAAATTATATATATGTATATATACATACAATTTCATAAAATATGTTTCTTAATTTAAGGTTACATTATTGTTTCTTCTTATAATAAATTGTTAAATTAGAATTAGATATATTTATTCAGAATTTATATAATTCATGCATAAAATAATTTTGGAACTGTCCATATTTTCTTAATTGTACTTTTCTATATAGTTATTTTTTTTAATAAGTGAGTGATAGTTTATAAGTTAACATATGTGCATATCCTAATTGAGATAGTAGGATATTTGTGTTTATAGCTGAGAAGGACATTTGTGTTTATAGTTGTTATTGTAGTTTGGTAGGATTTGTTTGAATTTTCTAGAAAATTAATTGTTTAAAACTGTACATCTCTACAGGGCGTAGCATAGTATTATTTAAAAGTTGTTAATTATACTATGTACTGGATGAAATGTATTGCTATCTAACCAACAATATCAACAACAGTTAATGCAAAACAGCTTTCAAAGTAGAATAACTTCTAGAAAATAACTGAATGTGAATGAATATAAAATTCTACAGATATTTTATTGTCCTATTTTTGATAATTCTCAGTAAGTTAAAAAAAGTGTAAGTGAAGTCCAAAACAAGTGAATGAAGAAATTGGATATGGATGGAGATAACGCTGGAATTCGTGATGAGAGAAGGTTTATTAGAGGGGAGAAATACATAGATTAAGGAAATTAATAAGTGTAATAGAGAAGGTAGAAACAGAGAAGAAAGGGGGCAAAGATAAAGATAAAACATGACAAAAATTACAGATGATTCAGATGAATCCTCAGATTACTTTAGGTGCATATTATCTTGTGAGGATGAATTTTTTTTTTCTCTGAGAAGAAAATGAAAATTTATTCAGTGTCAGTGACCTAAAGTCACCTTTATTTCCATGATCAGATGTCTATAAAAGTACAAATTTCACAGAGATTCCAAATAAAGCCAGCATGATAGTATGCTTTAGTTTACCAGATTGCAGTAAGATTAGAACAATACCTATGGAGAAGTGGTAAGGAGAGAGGATTTGTGTGTTGAACAGGTGGTGTCCTGTAAATGTAATTAGGTATGTTGTCCTTGGACAGCTGTTAGGCAGCACGAAGCCATTGAGTTAAAGAAAAAGGAGATAAAAGCATTGAAGCCACACAACATAACTTTGTCTAGGCCTTTTCCATTTAAGTTTAAATTAACATACCCTTTGAACTGTAGATGATGGCAGGAAGCGTTTAGAGGGGTTTTGTAAGGGTGGGAACAATAGAGATATGACAGGTATAGTCAGCTGAGTCACTTATTTAGGTGTTGGCATTTCAATTACAGAAATAAAGAAACTCATCAGGATGCAATTTCAGTGGAGAATTATTTAAAGATCACTTTAGGATTTTAATTACAGCAAAAGTAATGTTGACAAATCAAAATCACACTTAGCATTCAGCAGCTATATCACTCCCAAAGAATCAATAATGAAATGTTCTACAACATTCTTGGATGATGTAATTGAAAATTTTATTATGGCAATAAGTATTTCCCCCTATGTAACCATGAACCTGTCCATTTTTAGCATCTATATAAAACACTAAGTTGCTGTGAAGATATTACTTAGAGCTAAATTTTCACTGACAGATAAAAGTTAACAATTTTTTGTTTGATAGGAAAATATTAAAAATACTGAAGCATAAAATATTTGCCTATTTTTCATTTGAGCGTTTGGAATTTGAGAACCAAAAATTCTACTTAAAAAATATTTGGTCTATTATAAACTGTTGACTTTGTCACCTACTTATTGCTAAAAATATATGTCATATATGTGGATTACTAATACTTTGAAAGATTTAATACAAAATTAAATAAAAATAAGGAAAATATCTCTCAATCATCATACTGATGCCTTTTTGTAGAATGACGTTTATAGCTGAAAGAAATAATATTAAGTGCATTACTGAGAAAAATTTTTAGCTGAAAGATATTCTACTATGATGTTATTAGAATTTTAAAATTTGATTTTGAAAATACCTTGAGGCTCAAGTGGGTAGAAAAGGAAAGTGAAAGAGATGATGCCTTCAGAAATATTTTCTACTGAAGGATCTTAGAAAGACTAATGCAAAATTCATTAAGTGCATTATCAGGCATCTGCCAATAGCTGAATGCAAGCCAATAATGAACTGGTAGTTACTAATGAGCTACTAATTGTAGTCAGTCTGAATTATGCCAACTCCACAGCCAATGAAAGGAACTGCCATCTATTTGCATGTTTTTAAAGAGGAATTGAATTATTGTGCTCCTTGTATTTGCCACAGAAAGACAGACATTGCTGTGGCATCCAGGTCACATATTTGGAGCCAGAAAAATTAAACTTTCTATATCATTAATAACTGTTGTATTAGTTTCCATCTAGCCTTTTTTTTTTTTCTCTCCCAACCAGACCATTGTCGTTGTTCTCATTTATTTATTGAAACTGAGTCCAGAGTTCATCAGAAGGAAGGGGCGTGACAGTTAGGACAAAATAATTTGAAATTATAAAGAGTGTATAGGAAATGTAAAAATGATGACTCTTTTTCAAAATCCAAAATACTAACATAGAGGGAAGTTAACCTTTGAATAAGACTTTATATGTCAAAATTTTATTTTTGTCTTTCGCAAGCATATTCTCCTTTAAACCACTTAGTAATTCCATAAATGAGGCATTATTTTTTTTTCGTTCAGCTCAAGAACCCATGAGGAGTCTGAATTCTGTACTTTAAACTATAGATCAGACCACCTCCAAGATACATGTGATTTGTAATTTACTTAAGAATTTCTGCCTCTCTTTCTCTACTATCTTTTATACACCATGTTCAAACACCATAGTGCAAAATTATAACAACAATAACAAAAATCAATTTGCTTAGGAATAGTGAGATTCACTCTTAGGCACATGATCCTCTTCCTAATCCCTATAATCCCCCAAATAAGGTAATATAATAATAATATATTAATAATACAATACAACAGAATATTATGCATGGAACTGGATGAGTGAGTCAGATAATTTATTTAAAATTACATCGTCATTGACCACTTTTTTTTTAATTTCTCCAAGTTTTTTTTTCCCTTTTAGCTCTGCCCATTCCTTCATTCATTCAACAACATCTACCAAAATTTCACTCTGTGCCGTACATTATGGTAGGCCCTTGAGTTATAAAAATGAATAAGACACATTCTGTCTTCAAAGAACTTGCAATTTACAGTGAGGTTAGAGGTATATGTAAAATATTATGAAAGTTCAGGCAGGAGTAAGGAAAATTTAACTGGGAAAAGAGGACCTTTGAGAAGTCTGACAGATTTAGTAAAAGCTCTCTGCAGAGGAAAATGCAAGAAGGATTCTCCATAAGGAGGGAACAGCATGTGCAAAGTTATAATAGAGGCTTGAAACAGTATGGGACCCTACTTGATTTGGCTATAATTGGAAGTCATGTAAGAACCAGGTAATGACACAAGGGCAAGTTGAGGCCAGATTGCGATAGGGTTTGTGTGCTAGGTAACTTGGATTTTATCCTGTAGTTCTTAAGGAGGCATTTATGGTTATTAGTGGAGAGAGTATTATTATATTTGACTACAGCATGAAAAATGGAAGGTCCTGGAAGGGCAAACAATTACTATATTTTTAGAGAAAATACTTGAAGCAATTATAGTTGTGGCATTTGGAATATGGGTTAGATTTAATAGTTATTTAGCAGATAGAATACAAGAGATTTTTAAGCTTAAAATAGCAGAAATGTTGGTGGTTGAGTTCTAAATATTTAAGTACATGATTTATATTATTACCAGCTCGCTAAGGGAAACTAATTCACATTTTTGATGAGTTACTAGTTTCATATATGTGTGTCTTTTTTTTGAAAGAATTAAAAAATTTCCAAAACTAAGCATAATTTAGAGATTTAAGGATCATCACTATTTTCAAACCTCTGTTTTGATAAGAGACACATTTAATTTTTAAAGAAGGGTCAACATAATAAGAATTCTAAGGCTGTAATTAAAATCCATTGATTGCTACTCAGAGCAACCCACATTGGGTTTTCAAGGCTGTAAATCTTTATGGAAGTAGATTACCTTATCTTCCTCCTGTGGAGCTGCTGGTTGGTTTGAACTGCCAGTCTTCTGGTTAGCAAATGCCTTAGGCACTGCACCACATCCTCTGTTGTAATGGTTAAGTGCTGGACTGCTAATTGAAAAGATAGTGGTTCTAACCTATTCAGCAGCTCTGTGAAAGAAAGGGCTGGCATTCTGCTCTCATAAAGATTGTTGTTGTTGTATGCTGTTGAATTGATTCCTACTCATAGCAACCTCACTGACAAGGATAACTACCCACATAGAGTTCTCTAGGCCTTAATCTTTATGGGAGAAGATATCCAGGTCTTTCTCCTGTGGAGTAACTGGTGGGTTTGAACAGCTAACCTTTCTG